GTAGCAACTCCTTTGCATTTGGAAGCCGGGGGTGGGGGTGGGAGGAGGACCAGGGAGGATGATTCAACCACTCGACCACTAGATGTCGCTGAAAACAACAAATCCTACACACTGTGCCTGTAAAAATAGTGTAACAACACTGTGAAGTSAAGATTAGGACAGATTTAAACAATACCCCTAATTCTCTACAGGTGAGTGTATTTAATTGYGATGGGATGCAGATCATTAAATAGAGAGCAGTCTGTTATGGTCAATGTTTATTTGTGGATTTTTTACCCCACTTTACTGCAGACTGTTAAATGCATCAAGCCAGTGGATGGAAATCCCAATAACTAAGACAAAATAAATCACTTCTAGTTACTTTGACGTTCTTATTTGCACACTGCTACTAATTGGAGAGGTATTGTCGTTTGAAAGGAATGTTTTTGTTACAGAATGTGATCCAGGGCCTCTTGTTAAAATATGCTGCACACACCCACATCTGAACAGTTCTTCTGCGCGCATCGTTTGGATATTYAAATCTTCTACTTTGATTATATCATGCAAATGTAACTTTCAAAAGTAGCAACACTGTTTGGGCTTCATGCTTTCGTGTGTGCGTAAATATGACATAATAAAACAGAAAAAAAAGCAACATTAAAGTAACCGGAGCCAACCTGTAGCGCAATGACGGATGRGAGTTACAGAAACCACAACTTATAGGCTAAAATACAATATTAACACACAAAGRTTTAAGAAACTTGCGAAACAGACTRCTTACCTATTTCCTCATCTATCATCCCCAACTGTATGTCATTGAAGTCCCCGTTTTCGGACGCGGAGTCCCTCTCAAGGATGTCGTCGCTCATATCGTCAAAGGGTCTCGTGCGTCAACATATTAAAGTGATTTTGGGGCGCAAAAATAAGCCCGTGGCCCGGACATTCCTGCTTTATTTCAACACACTAAGAYCCAGTCTGAACAAAAGAATGTCTGGTCAAGTTGAGGCACGAGAAAATGGCAATAACGCGGGTGGAGTTTRAGGCGGCGGAGGAAGGACGACCTTCGAAAAACTGAAAAAGGAGTCGATGCTGAACTTGATAAGTGACGTCAGCCCACATACATCCGATATCATTTGGATAAAATCACTTTCAAAACAACTCGTAAGTAAGTTGATGTAAAGGAAAAAACGTTGTTTTTGGTACGATCAAGAACGTCATTTCATAAAACTTACCATTTGACATCAACTTTACTTCGCAAAACAAAAGCAAAAATTAAAAAAAATGGAAGAGCATCTTCTTGCAGGGCGCGACTCAGGATTGTTATAATCATTGACAACTCAACATGTAGCACAACATATATATATTATTTTACATGCTCAACTTGAATAAAAATGACATTTATTATATCGTGATTTTTAAACTGTGTAAAGCAAAAAAAAAAAAAAAAAAAAAAAAAAAAAGGAGGAGTTGGGAATGATTTTAAAATGACTCGATTTCAGGGGGGACTCAAAAAGATGACGGAAGGTAACGGTAGCTATTTCCGCTAATAACAAACCAGCTAGCTTCCGCTGACYTGTATTGTTTATGCTTTGTTTTGCCAAGTGTGTAAAATCCATTGTTGAATTGTGGGTTATTTAAAAGACATGTTGCTTGGTAATCCACGGATAATATAATGAATAATTATCTGTGTATGGCTGATCGTGCGCGTTAAAAAGCGAGTGAAATAGAYCCCCGCTGTATTAGCTTACACATGCTAACGCAGTTGTCCTCTTAGCGTGTCGTGCTACATTAGCTCACTGATGACTCGGGATGCGTGCTAATCAGACTGTAGTAATAAGCATGTCGTGAAACTTAATGTAACTCAAGTTTAAACTCGTTTTAGAGAAGAACGGCCTCTGCTTTTCAATTACTTTGTTCAGGTGAGTAAACTGACCAACAGGTAAACTCGGTACTGTTTAGGAAACTAGTTCATGTCAAATGAGCAGTCAAAGAAAACCAGTTATTGTTTTACTAATACAGATTTAATTATATGAAACTGTCCAATATTTTATGTGCATTTATCAATTTTGTGTAAATTTTATTATTTAAAGTTTGTGTTAGTCCTATAAGTTTACATCTATCCACAAGTTGTAGAGAGATTGTAGTATTTTACTGTCTTACATACATGACTGGATAATATTATTGAATTTTGTTTTGTTCTGCAGGTCAGCGCACACTTCCGATTTAGCAAAATGAAGATGTTCTCAGTGGCACACAAGACCGTCTTTGTAGTGGACCACTGTCCCTACATGTCAGAGTCCAGTCGTCAGCAGGTGGAGTGTGATGTGTTGACGAAGAGCCGAGCTCAAGGTGTTATTCCTTTGGCCCCGGTGTCCAAGTCTCTGTGGACCTGTGCTGTGGAGTGTTCTATGGAGTATTGCAGAATCCTCTACGATATTTACCCAAAAGACAAGCTGGTTTGTTTCTTTCTTTTGTGTTTTTTCTTGTATTTTTAAATTCCAGGCTGCATCATTGTAACCGGTTTTATTTTATATGAAGTACATTAATATTAACTGATTAAATAAATAGATTGTGTTCATTTCCAGGTGAATTATGTTGTCAGTGATTCAGAGTTCCACATATTGAATAGCTGGAGGCGAGAAAATCAGAGCACTCACGAGGTAACCAGCCGTCCGTTGGAACTCGCTAAACCTAACCCAAAGCGTTTCAGATTTAGCCTAACGAGGACGGTTTGCTCCCTGTTTGCAGCTCATGGCAGCTCTGGCAGCTGTCGGACCACCAAATCCCCGCGAGGACCCAGAGTGCTGCAGTATCTTGCACGGGCTGGTCGCTGCCGTGGAGCTGCTGTGCAAGATCACGGAGCTGCAGCACGAGAAGCGCACGGCTTTGATGGACACCGCCGAGAGGGTGGCCAACAGAGGCCGGATCATTTGCTTAACGAACGCAAAAAGGTAAACTGCAGAATTCAAACAAGACGCAAAGACGGAGGCTTGTGCTAGTGATGTGCTTTTTGTCTGAGTGGTGTGTAGTTACTGTGCCTTGTTTAGTTTGATCGTGTTTGTCCTAGATGTGCCCAGCAGCTTGTTGTTTTGACAGCTTATGGCACACGTTATTCATTTTAGCCTTGTTTGTGTCTTCACGAGCAGCGACACTCATGTGCGCATGTTGGAAGACTGCATTCAGGAGACCATTTTAGAACAGAACAAGCTGGCAGCTTGCTCTGACAGGTCAGTATCGAAACGAGTCATAAGTATGATTAAAACTGTGCTGAAAGGCCTGAACTCCTGTTTTATATCTCTGTAATCGTGGGGTTCCAGGTTGATGGCCATCCAGCAGTGTGAGCTGGTTCTAGTTCACATCTACCCGCAGGGTGAGGACACGCTGGTGTCCGACCGGCTCAAGAAAGAGGTGGGAGCGCAGTCAGCGGACACGGACGCACATCTAACGTGTGTCGTCTGTTCTTTCTAACCAGTCCGCTCCCTTCCTTTCAGATCTCACCTCTGCTCACCAGTGAAGTTCACAGCGTGCGTGCTGGGAGGCACCTGGCCTCCAAACTCAACATTTTGGTCCAGCAGCACTTTGATTTGGCCTCCACCACCATAACAAACATCCCAATGAAGGTAAAAACCACCTCCTCTGGGCTTTTTGGATTTTTGTGTGTGTGTGGTTTTGCCCATCTGTTTAACCTGCACTAGCTTTTAACTTGGGCATGTTGTACTTCTAGTAAAAATGTGTAGCTCCTAGTGCACATTTACTTTTTTATTAGCTTGCTAGCATTTGTTAGCTTTTGAAAGTATTGTCTTTTCTTTTGCTTGCTTTTATGCTTCCTTGTAATAACGAAACACCACAGCCTCATAACTTTTTGTTCATTTATTTTTTGTTGTTGATCTCATCTGCATGTTGACATGACTGTGAACGTGCTGCTGGTTTCATGCTGTATTTTCTGTTTTGCTAGCCCACATTAAATGTATGCGAACAGGTTAGTACTCTGACCCACACACACATCAAACAGGGGGAAGGGCAGAGAGTTTTCAGCATGTAGCTCAGCTGTTGAAAGCGCTGCCGTCAGCAGATTTTTGAATGTGACGGCTGTTTGACAGATGTCCTGCTGAGGCTCGAGTAGAGAACGGGCAACGTTGGTCTGAAAATTCAGGCTTTTATTGTTAATTAAAAAAAAAAAARTAAACCGCAAGAATAGACTTGTTTTAAACCAAATGCAGAAGTGGCAAATAATAAAATAGCTGCTGAATTGAACTGTTTGTGACCAGCGTTGCCTCACCTGAGTTGCAATTTACTGTCAGTGGTTCAAGTGTGTAAATCTTAAAAGTTGTACAAATTTCCTCTAGTTTCTTTTTACCCTTTTGTTTTTCTTCTTATTTTTCCATCGTAGTCCTTTGTGTTGTCTTGATAAGTTTTTAAACCATCCCTTAAATGTCTATAACTGATTTAGATATTAAAGCTTTGTGATTGCTCCTAAAGTCGACATGAAGCAGTTGTTCCCAAGTCTCCATCACAACTGGGAAACGCTCGTCTCTGCTGAGCGATAAACATTTCCCTTCATCATTTTCCTTTATTAAATTATTTTTTTTGGAACATGAAATCAGCAGATGATGTTTGTCTGTTTGCGCGTCTCCTCCGCGTCGACTAACCCGTGTTTGTAATTGCCGGTGCGGTCGGACAGGAGGAGCAGCACGCCAACACGTCTGCTAATTATGACGTTGAGCTCCTGCATCACAGAGACGCCCACCTGGAGTTCTTTAAAAGTGGTGAGTGCCCGTGCCCTGATCYGTAGTTCCTACATACAGCGTTTTCAAACACGCCCCTTTTATTGCTCTTTTACTTCAAATTCATTCACTTCAAATTGTTTTAAAACGATGTTTGTGTTCCGCAGGGGACTTGCACATGGCAGGAACCAGCACTCGGGAAAATGGGCTCAAAGAGACCATCACACTGAAATGGTGCACGCCACGAACCAAYAGCATCGGTAGTTTGTTCATTTATAAATGATTGACATAGTTAGCGATAACTGCTAACCCTGCTCTGATGAAAGCATGTCTAAATATTTTTGAATCACTTTGCAGAGCTGCATTATTGCACAGGAGCTTATCGCATCTCCCCCACTGATGTAAACAGCCGCCCCTCCTCGTGTTTGACAAACTTTCTTCTTAACGGTAAGCTGAATGAATCTGGTTCTATATGTTTACTTTTTACCTGTCGACTGCTTTGTTGTGGCATGGGTATTAGGGTATTCTGATTGTAATTTAACAGTTTTGTAGTTTTCTGTTTTTTAATTCACTTTTATTTTGACCACAGGTCGTTCGGTGCTTCTGGAGCAGCCAAGGAAGTCCGGGTCAAAGGTCATCAGCCACATGCTCAGCAGCCACGGAGGCGAGATCTTTCTGCACGTGCTCAACAGCAACCGCTCCACCTTAGAGGACCCGCCCTCCATCAGCGAGGGCTGCGGAGGCCGAGTGACGGACTACAGGATCACGGTGGGTTTAGCTCACACAAACAGGAACGTTAATCTGACTGCTGACTGATTTGTTTGTTTATTCTTCTTTCAGGATTTTGGTGAATTTATGAGGGAGAACCGACTGACTCCAGTTTCGGAGTCCTCCCATAATCCCGCTGGAAAGCTACCAGTGGAGAGGGCCAAAGCTCAGCTGGAACGTCACACCAGATACTGGCCCATGATCATCTCTCAGACGACCATCTTCAACATGCAGGCAGTGAGCACCGTTCATAGATCCTCAGTCATTTCCTCTGTCCAGCTTCTTCTGTGCATGTTCTGCAAACTGCTTCTGCTTATCAAAGCTCATTCAGCTTTTAGCTAGCATGTAATCATTTTAGTTTCTGTTCTGCAGCTTTTAATCATCAAGTTACCATTCTGCTCCTATTTGCTACAGTTCTGCTAATATTAGCATCTGTTCAGCTATTTATAGTGTCTGTTTTGCTAATTTTAGCTAATATTCTGCTCACATTTGCTACAGTTCTGCCAACATTAGCATCTGTTCAGCTATTTGCAGTGTCTCTWTTGCTAATTTTAGCTAATATTCTGCTCATATTTGCTACAGTTCTGCTAATACAGTATTAGCATCTGTTCAGCTAATTTATAGAGTCTGTTTTGCTCATTTTAAGCTACCATTTGTCTCATATTTGCTGCAATTCTGATAGCATCTGTTCAGTTAATTTTAGATTCTGTTTTGCTAATTTAGCTAATATTCTGCTCATATTTGCTACAGTTCTGCTAACATTAGCATCTGTTCAGCTATTTGTAGTGTCTCTTTTGCTAATTTTAGCTACCATTCTGCTCATATTTGCTGTAGTTCTGCTAATATTAGCATTTGTTCAGCTATTTATAGTGTTAGTTTTGCTCATTTTAGCTACCATTTGGCTCATATTTGCTACAATTCTGATAGCATATGTTCAGTTAATTTTAGCTTCTGTTTTGCTAATTTAGCTAATATTCTGCTCATATTTGCTACAGTTCTGCTAATATTAGCAGTTCAGCTATTCTTAGCTTGGTTTGCTAATTTTAGCTACCATTCTGCTCTTATTTGCTACAGTTTTGCTAATGATAGCAACTGTTCAATAAATTTTAGCTTCTGTTTTGCTAATTTTAGCAACTCTTCTGCTTCTTTTAGTTACTGTTCTGCTGCTTTTGTTGTTATCTTGGGACAACATGATTTTGGGATATTTTTGTATCCGTTGTTTTCGTTTCTGACCAATAGGTAGTTCCTCTGGCTAACCTGATAGTGAAAGAGACCCTCACCGAGGAGGACGTTCTAACCTGCCAGAAAACAATCTACAACCTGGTGGACATGGAGAGGAAGAATGACCCACTCCCCATTTCCACAGTGGGATCTAGAGGCAAAGGCCCCAAGAGGTATGGTCTGACATTAAAGCGTTTGGCCGTGCTGTAACAGGGTTGGTATTATATTTGTGTCGGTGTGATCTCCAGGGATGAACAGTACCGTATCATGTGGAACGAGCTGGAGACGTTGGTGAAAACACACGCCGGCGCCACCGACAGACACCAGCGAGTCCTAGAGTGCATCGTCGCCTGCCGCAGCAAACCCCCTGAGGAGGAGGAGAGGAAGAAGAGGGGGAGGAAGAGAGAGGAGAGGGAGGACAGGTCGGAGAAAAACGTCAGCAAAGAGACCGAAGACAAAAGCTGGGCGGAGTCAGAGAGGTCAGTCAGGTCTGTTGAACTAGTTTTCTGCTTTCTTCCACAGCTTTCCTCACCTTAAAGCTTCATTTTAAGCGGTTTTCTCACACCTGATTCCACTGAAGGCTGAAGGGTTTGTTGGAGAAGGAGAATCCAGAGTCCGAAGTGATCAAGGATTCCCCGGACTCTCCGGAGCCGCTCAACAAGAAGCCTCGTCTGATCGCAGAGGAGGTTCAGCCAGCAGAGAGAGCAAAAGGTTCTACCACACAAGATTTTCTCATCACTTAATTTCAGGGTTCAAATATTAAAACCTGAACTTGTCCTCTGCAGGTCCCGTCACGCTCCTTTCCATGTGGACCAACCGGATCACTGCAGCCAACTCCAGGAAGCACCAAGAGTTTTTTGGTCGAGCGACATCCGTGAACAGCAAGTTCGAGTTGTATCAGCACCTGAAAGAGGAGAACGGGTGAACAAATCTTTGTTTTCATTCAATCTTCATTTTAAAAGCTTTTAAAAGTGCTGAACCTAGGATTTATTTATTTTTTATTTTTACAGGATGGACGTTCAYGAAAATGGAAAAGCCTCTAGATAACGTTGCCACAGATTTATCACATCCCCCTTTTTGCAGAGGATGATTGAGGACCACAGGGCGTTTCAGACTCTGGGGGTCTCTTAAAAAGCAGACGTCAGATTGGTGAACTCTAACAGGGAATTTATACGTTTTTGTTTGTTTTTTTCCCACCCATTTTGTAAATATGAGCTTCACATATTGTATTACGCAATAAAATCTGCCTGTAGAAAGCTCTGCTGTCGGTTTTAGTGCCTAAAYGAAATATAACCAGCAAAACCTATTRTTGTGTGAATGCTGAGTCAGCAAATTTCAACAAAAATATATTAAACCTAATGACAATTTTTCATCATGTGTTTTATCCTCACATTCCTTTTTATAAAAGTCATTTTGTCAGAAAAGTGCCATGCTAATATTTTATATTTTCCTTTTAACTGCTTGCCCTGGGGCATTTGCAGCTATTTTTCTGGGAATTCCTGCTCAATATGTATAGCTCAGTTTGTGACTCCTATATGTTCTATTCATTCCTGCATATAGCCATTAAGTCGGGTCATTACAGCGTGACTGATTATCCAGAACCGTACAGTCATATAGGAGTCAGCAGGAACACTCAGTGTGGGCTGACTGTCTGGGTCAGTGTGGTTGGCTGCGATCCAGAATGTTTGGGCGGGGGGGTTCCTGATGAGGTCGCGGGGGTCAGACGGGTGGTGAGCAATTCTGTCGCTGACTGGGGTTAATGTGGAAGTGACAGTGAAAGAGGTCAGACCGCTGCTGTGTCGTACACAATGCTGAAATTTCTCCACACGCACGCTGGAACAAGGTGAGGTTTGTCTTCAGGTTTGGAGATGATCCCCTGAAGCAACTAGAAAAAAATGAAAGTCTTAGCTCTAGTAAAAAATAAAAATAAATCAGAATTTTTCTTTTTTTAGTTGCCACTGAAGTTGACAAATGAAGCAGACCAGTGTTTGAGTTTAGAAAGGTTTATTTTTATTAACACCATCAAAGCATCTTACATTGAATCATGGGTTTTAACGTGGAGTTTAAAACTGTCCTCTTGCCTGAAGGTTTTCCCGCACGTCAAGCACTGGTAGGACTTCTTTGTGTGGATCTTCAGGTGCCGCTTCAGCCGATTCCGGGTGTAAAAGGCCTTGGGACACAGCGAACACCTGTAAGGACGCTCTCCCGTGTGTTGGCGAGTGTGAACGGTCAGCAGGCATTTGGCGACGAAGCCTTTCCCACACTGCCTGCAGGTGTGAGGCCTCTCTCCGCTGTGGTGCCGCGAGTGGAGCCTCAGCTCCCCGGAGGAGAGGAAAGCCTTCCCGCATTCCGTGCACAGGTAGTTCTTCTCCCCTCGGTGCATGCGCATGTGCCTCGCCAGGTGTTGGACGGACGTCTTCCCGCAAATGGGGCACATATAGGGTCGCTCCCCCGTGTGCGTGCGCATGTGCGCCGTCAGGATGAATGAACCCCTGAAGCCTCGGCCGCAGACGGAGCACAGAAAGGGAGTCTCGCCTGTGTGAATCCGATAGTGGATATCCAGATACCTTTTGGAGTGGTACTTCTTCCCGCACTGGTCACACTGAAACGGGGGACCCTGACTGTCAGGGGTAACTATATCCTTCAAGACATCACCAGCTTTGGCTTCAGTAAAAGGACTGGACCCTTGGACCAGATGCTTCTGACGAATGTGCTGAAGAAGTGCTGCCACGCGGCTGTCGGAGTAGGAACACATGGAGCAGCGATGCGGCTGAAGAGGCTTTAAACCTGAAGGAGATGAAGAGCAAAAACAGTCAAATGAAATTCAACCAAAGCCCCTGAGCAGATTTCAAATACTGTATCTTGCCTTCACTTTGGTTATCCTTCAGGTTATTTYTTGTCGTAGAGTCCTCTGTAGTATCGTTAGTGAGGCTTTTATCCAACGGTTCATCTTTGCCACAATTAAACCCTTCATTTTCACCAACAGATGCTGCACGTTGCCTCGAGTTGGTTTTGGGACGTAGATGCAGCATGGGCAAAAACACATTCTGAGCCTCAGAGAAACCTGGAACAAATAAATAAGAGGAAAAAAAACTATCAAAAAATTTTAATAAGCACTTTATAAGACAAAAATGTGCATTCATAGTGTTTACGCTTATTATTATGTTTTTACATTTGTTGGTATTTCCTGTTTGTTGCTCGTTGAAGTGCAGCAGCTCCTTCAGCTGCTCTCGTTCCAAAACCAGCTGTCCACATTCCTCCATGACAGAGGGGGCGCTGCTGAGCCACTCTGCGGTCTGTAAACATTTCAGTTGCAATGCTAATAATCTATCATAATGGGTAACTTTATGGCAAAAAAGGGCCTTTTTAAACAACAGTTGCATAGTGTTTTGTTTTTTTTTTGCAAAATGTGCAAAATATAAAAATGAAACCAAATAACCTGTTTTATATCGGGAACAGGCAACAGATTGTCCAATCTGGAGATGAATTTCCAGACTAAAGTTTGCAAAGTGGCTTCAAACTGTTGGCCGTAGTGGATGGGAAAAACCTCCTGGAAAAGCAAACAAATTCACCATCATATTTAAAACAAAATAAAACTAAGTTAATGCAGCTCAAGTTGTCCTTTAATAACAGCGACTATCTTACCACGAAAAACCTTCTTCTTTCCTGTGGGTCGTCCAGCAAAGTATGAACCACCTCCACAAAGTTTGACTTTGACTTCTCCAGCTCCTATTAATTACGGTAAATAAAGGAAGAAAAAAAACATGTTGACCTTTAGAGAAAAGAAACTGCAAAGCCTAAATAAAACCTACTACTGGTAAATCAAACAACACGATGAGAACAAGATGTCAAACAGTCATTAAAGCTAATAATTGGCAGGCCCACCTCCTGATCACAGCCAGAACTCATCATGAGCTCCTGAATGATCCTCAGGTGGGACTGGACGTCCAGCAGGTCGGCTACGCTCTCACTGCGACACAACTCCAGCACGAGCTGAAACAAAACACCAGTGATTTTTTTTTTCAGAATTATATATTTGTTTGAAATTAATAAAATGTTTTTGTAAATAGGAGCAGATATAAGATTTTTTTCTTCTTCTGCTGCTGCCTTTCATTTCATTTTATTTGTATTTTTTGTATGTAATGTTTTTTTCAATGAAATGAATAAATAAAATTTAAAAAAATAAATAAAATAAAAAATTTCAGACCACCACCTGGCCTCTTACCCTCGCTCTGAGCCTGAGCAGGAGCTGCGCTCTCTCTCTGGCCGTGAGCAGCTCTGGGGCCAGCTCCGTCACCAACGACACCAACTCCTCCACTTTGTTATACTGCGCAACGTTACGACACCGGACCACCTGCCAGGCAAAGGCACACATCAGGCGCAGGGTGGGAACCAGGAGGCACAGCGAGGGGACGGACAAAGGACAACCTGCAAACGATTCAAACAATGAAGCATGAAACTAAACCTTTCAGTTAAAACAAAAAGTGCTCATCGTACCTTCTGCTRGATGTGACGCCTGCAGAGGTGCAGCTGCCAGATTAGTCTCAGCATTTGGTTTGGTGCAACCGTGAACTTGATCCATGACGACAAACCAGCTGCTTTTTTGTTCTTTGGAGTCTTTTTCCTCCATACGTCGTTCATACTCCTGTTCCAGGAGCCTTATTTTAGTCCTGCACTGACTGGTGGTCTTATCAAAGCCCTGAGTGGCGAGCTCGGAGCTCAGCTGAGCGTACACCCGCTCGACCCCCTCAGTTGATTTTAGCTGCTCCTGAGCGCTGTCCCCGGCCCACAGCGTGAGCAGAGTGTCGACTTCCTCCGGCGTCCAGGCAGCTTGGGAGGAATCTGCAGAAAGCCATTTAAATTAACACMGTGACAGCTGAAAGGTTTTTAAAGTTTTAAACACGCACGCTCACCTTCGGCTGATTCAGGCACGATCACAGCAGCAGCTGAATTTGCGTCTTTGGATGTTGCTGCTTCGGGACCAAGAACGCCRTCCATTATAGCAAACCAGTCGCTTCCATTGCTCCCGTGTGGYTCCACTCGTTTGATGGTTTTGTACATTTCTGTCAGCCGGTTCACTTTAAGGCTGCACTGCTGCGGCGTTTTGTTGAAGCCGATCAGAGCTAGCTCGCTGCTGAGGTATGTGAAGACGTCGTGTGTTCCTGAGGCATGGAGCTGCTTCTGGATGTTTGGTTGGGCCCAGAGAGTGACGAGCACCTGGACTTCATCCGGCAGCCAATCAGCTTCATCTGTGGAGACAAATCCAAAGCGAATGTTATCAAAACAGCAGGCAAAATGCTATTTAATCTGCTTCTTTGGTAAGATTACCCACCGTTAGTGTTCAAACCCAACACAAAAGGCGGCGCGGGTTCTGCTGCAGACGACGTTGCGGTTTCCGCACATTCTGAAGCTGCAGGCTGCGAGCCGAGGACACGATCAATAATGCGGTACCACATGTTCTTCTCTCCACCCGAGGGGTTGCTGCTCTTGATTCTCCTGTAGCTGTACTTCAGATTTTTAAGTTTATCCTGGCAATTCTGCGCCGTTTTGCTGAACCCGAGCGTTGCCAGTTTGGCGCTGACGCTGTTGTACACGGCGCTGCTCCTCCTGCTCCGCCGGAGCTCCTGCTGGAAGGAGGGGCTTGCCCAATGTGTCAGCAACACGAGGACTTCCTTTTTTGACCAACTGCACATGGGCATATCTGTGAGAGCAAGAAACATATCAGGGTTCATGCAAGTTTCACTAAGTTAAATTTAAGACCCTTTAAGACCTTTAGGAATGATATTTCAGACCAAACTGACACATTAACAAAAACATTCAAGTGATCCCAAAAWTTTTATCGTAGAAACCTTTTATTGCTATCAACTTAGCTATGAAAGAATATTTAATTTTAATACAAGAACACCAAATTATTTTAATGAAACTGTGCGGTAGCGGTGCAAAGATACAGAAAATTCACGATTCGGTTCAATACTTGAGTCTCACGGTTCGATATTTTTTCGATACAAAAAGAGAAATTTCCATGTCCTTTTTAAATTGTAATGTATTTAAATTAATTATGAACATTTGTTTAACCTCAAAAGAACAGTTTTTAAATGTAATGTTGCTGAAACAGCAAGTTTCTCAGTGGATCTGCGCTCAAAAATGCAGCCTAGGTGGAGTAGTCGAACACAGATCCACTGATCCTTCAACACAGAGCATCTTCAGAAGACAAGTTGATAAAATTAATTCTAAAAATCTGTTTTTTCAATACAAGTGTGTATTGAACATAAAGCACTGTACTGAACGGTTCAATACGGGTACATGTATTGTTGCACCCCTACTATGAAAGCTTCATATCGACTGCTGTGGACTGCTTCCAACCGTGTGCAAAAATCACTGATATCAAGCAAAGTCTCAATGGCTACGTTCACACAGCAGGTCTTAATGCTCGGTTCAGATTTTTGGGAAAAAAAAAAACTATCTTTTTGTGTGAACGTTCACATTACATTTTAAATGTGACCTKYATCAGACYCCTGTGTGAACGCTCCACAGCACTGATGTGACACGCATGCGCAGTAAAAGACGTGACGTCTCATCAGCCGGCTTGTTTGTTTACAGAGCTAGCATGGATGTTACATTTTGCACATCAAATCTGAAGTTGTTGTTTAATCAGAGCCGATTAAATAATTATCTGACCTGCTTCTTTAGTTCAGTGTTTATATCTGAACCTGCCTCTGACCGGGATGCTCCAATGAAGCTTTTTTTTTAAACAAAACTACAAGCTGGAAAAAAGCATCGACCGAGTAGCTAACTTTAGGATCGATACTCTCCACGACCCAGGCTGGACATCGTTATTATCATACTAATGTAAAGTAGAAAGATGAAGCAACTGGACTTGTGTTTTGGAGCTGTAAACACAYGGAGCTACAGATTTAAACAGCGAGACTTCAGGTTAGTGTCTTATCGGTCCTTCACCGCCTCCTCACTGATGAAAAAGTCAGATGAATGTGACATGAGCGTTCACACTGCAGTCACTTTGAAAACATCAGATATATATCCGATTTAAAACCACATACTGAAATGGCCTGGGTCGGATTTGAAAAAATCRGATTTGTCTCGTTCAGACTGTCATAAAAAAATCGGATATGGGTCAAAAAATCGAATTTGGGTCGGATTTGCCTGCAATGTGAACGTAGCCATTGAAAACACACTTTGCCATGTTCAAACCACAAGCAGTGGACATGATAGAACTTGGTTTTTTGGGCGGGCAAACAAGCCGTCGTATGCGGGGGGTTGTAGCAGCAAAAGGGTCAAAAACATGGAAGTGTGCCATTTTTGCCTGCAGTTATCACGGGATTTATAGTTTAACRCGTAAAAAGACTGGTAGCAAAMTAAGCACTTCATGAAGACATATCGCATCAACCTCTGATTACTGTGCTTTACTCTATTTATGTAGCCAATGCTTCTCAGGAATGATTGAAAGTATGAAATATTAAGACTGGACTAAATAAAATTTAAGACTTTGGATGAAAAGATGGATGTTTTAAAGACTTTTTTAGGTCTAAAATTTTGATTTTCAAATTTTAGACCTTTTTAAGACACTGCATGTCTTTGTGACAATGCTTAAAATATGACATCATTAGCTTTAAAATGAGCTTTTAAAATAATTAGTGATGCACCGATATGAAAATTTCAGCCAATATCAATACCTGATATAATTATTGCTGTTATGGCAGATAACCGATACTGATATTAAACAAACACACAAATTATATTATACAATAAGCACAAACACACTTGTGTCTTATTTTGATACCGTAACAACCACACCTCTGACATGGCTTCCTACTTCAGTTATTCCTGGCTGCAAAGCATCAACATCACTATTATGATCAAACAGATGCTCCTCAACCAACCATCTCCCCTCCCAAAACAGAAACACAACGCTAAAAAGTTGGAAATCAATATTGAAAGTTTATATCAGCCCAGTTTTAAATATCGGACCGATACGATATTCTAAAAAATAATCAGTATCAGCCGATAGCGATATCAATGACGATTTAATGTGCATCCCTACAAATAATGTTAAAATACCCACTTACCGTTTATCCTCCACAAGGAGCTGGATGAGGACGTGGCTGAAGAACTCGTACTGAGTGTTTCACTGTTTGTTGCACTGGGTGAATCTGAAACAGGGGGAAACAGTTAACATTACATTTATTCATTAAAGCTTGATTAGTGGAAATCAATAGATTAAATGAAACTTTTTGTATGCTGTAAATTGCTAACATATACCAGTTTCTTCATCTGAAATCACGAGTTCCTGCGTCATCTGGTCCGTGTTGTTGTTGTCTGTGGCAGCAGCAGGTCTGTCTCTTATCACAGAGTCCATGGCGTAAAACCACTCAGATGTCTCTGACGTCATAGTCTCATCGCTGATTGACTGCTGCTTGAGTTGTCTGTATTCCTGTTTGAGTTTCTTCATCTTGTTTCTGCACTGATTCATCGAGCGGCTCACTCCGGCCGCCGCCAGCCGGGCTGAAATCTCTCCGTAGACGGCTCCGTTCCTGTGCGACTCCTCCAGCTCGCGCTGGATCCCGTCCTCGGACCACGCGGCCAGGAGCGCCTGCGTCTCTTTGTGAGACCACCGCGTCACGCCCACGCGTCCGCTTCCTTCCAACKTGGCTGAAAGTTGCACACAAAATCTGCAGAAATGAAGTCAGCGATCTAAACAAAACAAAACGCGTCAACGTTTGCTGCTGGTTCAAAGTACTCTCAGCACCGATGGAGTGACACGAAATGAGCTGAAAAGTTAAAAACACTCACCATCGTCCATCGAGGATTCCAGCAGCGATGAGGCCGTATCCAAGCTACTCTCCCTCTCGTCGTAGGTTGGTCGGCGGCCGTAAATGGCGTTCATTTGGTCAAACCACTTCCACGTTTTGCGGTATGAACCACTCTTTCCGCTGTGGTCCTTTATCGTGCGGTAATCGCACTTCAGTTTCTTTAATTTCTCCCGACACTGCTTCGACGTTCGCTGGTAGCCGCGAGTGGCCATCCGCTCCGAGATCTCCCTGAAAATCTTTTCGTTGCGAGTCGACTCGTCCAGCTCGCTCTGAATCCTGTCCTCTGCCAACAAGCACAGAAAGTCCCGCACCTCCGAGTTTGACCACGGCGTGGGTTTCTGTGCTGCTGCCATTCTTCCGTTTCAAATGTCGCTCCAACGATTGCAAACAAATAATGGCGCCTCGGCTTGTTGTTGTTGTGAGGGTAGCTCGGACCCAACCAGACTCCACCCCTGAATCAAAAAGGTTCTGAGGTTCAGGTCGGCACGGTACGGTTTTTAGAGCTTGGCGCGGAATAGCCGAGCTAGGTTTTCAAAATGGCGCTGTTTTATTTTCGTCGCTTTTACTACGTCATATCTTCTGCGCCGAACGAGCAAAGTAAACAAAACAGTTACCTTTTCTTCAATTATGAGTGTTGTTAGTGTATTGTGTTATTTAATATAAAATAATGAAATGCCAGAATCCGCGTTCACTCCTAAATTGTACTTTTTTTGCCCTACGTGCTTATTATTTGTACTTATATGGACATTTTCATTTACCTAACTTTTCCTCTTTCTTACACGAAATGACAACTTTATATATCACACCAGTAAGAAATAGTTTATTTTCCAAGGGTATTTATTTATTCTGAAAGGCATCAAAAAACAATTGACAGGAAATTGCTACATTACTAAATTTTATACGTGACTGCTCACAGCAGCTAATCTTTTCACATAATATTGACTGTCTTATAAACAGCATGAGCGGTTTTTAATGTTATTTAACCAATAATAACGCAACAAATATGAAAGAGGAAATGGATATAAACAAACAAAAGTCAATGTCATACAAAAAAAAGTTTGAAAGAGGACACTTGAAGGTCAAAACAACGGTGGTTATATTGGCTTTAAATCACTAATATTTCTACGAGAACAAGATTTCCTATAGAAGTTACAGCAATGTATTACACAGAAAAAAACATTATCTACATGCTTGAAATACTTGCTTATCTGACAATTTGGCTTCATAATTGTAGCGTTTTAAACACATTACTAAAACTACAAGTGCACATAAGAGCTTGTTGTCTCTCAGTTGTACTGAAATACCAGTGATCCGATGATACAGTTGGACTCTTAACTTTACTGACTGAATTACATGATTTAATATCAACCACTGAGCAGGAATTCAAACAAAGTTACATAATTTCTTCTTTACAGCATCTGTTGTGAAACTGCTTTTAAACTGACCTATTTTACTCAATCACCAACATCGACTTTGAAAACTGTTATTTGACACTCACTTGTCACAAAACGTTCTTCTGATTAATAATCATCGCTGCCCTCTTCTTCCTCGTCATACTTCCTGTTCAGTGATTGCTTTTTGTGCTTCGTCCTGTGCCTTCGCTTGCCAGTGAAATCGGGGTTTGCCTCCCTCGTGTGCAGCTGCTCGTGCTTCTTCAGAAGGCCGGGGACGGAGAATCCCTTTCCACACGTGTCACATGTCCAGGGTTTTTTGCACGTGTGAGTCCGCTTGTGGACGTTCAGATGGGACGCCAGCTTGTAGGTTTTTCCGCAGACGTCGCAGCTGAAGGGTCGCTCGTTGGTGTGCAGCCTGATGTGGACCTTCAGGTTCCCCACCTGTGTAAAGGTCTTGTCGCACAAGGTGCACCGGTAGGGTCTCTCTCTGGTGTGGATCCTCATGTGAACTCTGAGGCAGTACTTGCTGGAGAACTTCTTTTGGCAGACGTGACAGGGGATCTTTGCTTTGGGTATGTGGTCTTGCTGATGCCTCTTCAGGTCAGACAGGTAAACGAAGGTCTTCCCACACTGCGAGCAGAGATACTGGCGGTCGCCGATGTGGTAGCCCATGTGTCGCTTCAACAAGCTGGGGACGAGGAATCTCTTCCCGCATCGCTCGCACATGTGGGGCCGGTCTCTTGTGTGCCAGCGCTCGTGGTTGGACAGCTTGAACGCCGTTGGGAAGGTTTTGTTGCAGTGCTTGCAGGGGAACGTCATCTGGCTCGTGTGACACTCCATGTGCCTTTTGAAATAGGTGGACTGTGTGAAGCCTTTGTTGCAGATGTTGCAGTAAAATGGCTTCTGGCCGCTGTGGGCGAGTATGTGCTTCGAGAGGCTCTGCAGTTTAGCGAAACACTTGCCGCACTGGCCGCAGGCGTACGGACGCATGGTGCTGTGGGTTTTCAGGTGGTTGTTGAGGAACCCCTGGGTGCGGAAGCATTTGTTGCAGGCCGCGCACGTGTACGGCTTCTCGCCTGTGTGGATACGCTCGTGGTCCATCAGCTTGGACTGATAGGGGAAGCTCTTATCACACACGCTGCAGTTGTATCTGCCAGCTAAGTGTCTGAATGGCTTCTTCCTTCTGATGCTCGGCCTCATGTCGTCATCGCACAGACTGCCTTCTGGAAGAGGCGGCAAGGCGGGGAGAGACATCGAGTTAGACGCGATCTGCGACACCCACTGATGTAATGTAACTCGCTGAGTTTGAGGCTTTGGTCCGTCCTTTGTCCCTGCGCCACCAGCATTCTGTAAGGTGGAGGGAGCTTTGATTGGCATTTGAACAACCCTGAAAGTAATAGATTTATGGGGTAGTCGCTGTAAGTCCGATTTCTCTGGTGCCGGATCGTTCTCTTTGCTTTGAGGAGTTGTGGCAGGAGGTTGCTGAGTGGAACTCTTTTTCTGCATCAGGTTCTCGCTCGTTTCCTTTGCTGTGCTGCCGGCAGCTGCTGTTTCGAGACTAGTCTGCTCTTCCTGCTGAGATCTGCCTGTTGGAGGTGCTGGGCTGTCCTCGTCATCTGAAATACCGACCACGCCTTCACTGTCACTAAGGGAGGCGGGGCTTCTTTCAACAACACTGACCTCCTGAGGCTTTGGTGATCGTGGAGGTGGTGGAGGGGGCGGAGGTGGGGGTGGTGGTGTTTCTACCGGTTTGGGTAGGAAGGCGAGGGAAGAGAGCACACAGTCACCCACCGAGGTTGACACGGTAGCTGTAAATAAATAAAATAAATTGTGTTTATCCGTTATGCACTTTATTACAAAATGGGGCACATCGTGTCGTCGTGAGCTATACCTTTAACACCAAAAGACCCTTTGGACTGCTGGTGTAGAAGTAGAGATTTTAGAGTTTCAGGGTCGGGAATGAAGTCTCCACATGCATCAAGGACATCAGAATCCTTTGAGATCATGGCACCAAGCTGAGGTAGAAGAATTGATTATATTTACAGTAATCAGCTAACAGTATGCTTCACACTAGCCTGGTTAACCAGACCCTTGTCCTTCGCTTTGCTTCGTACGAGGGTTTGGAATCTCGGCTGGAGGCGTGGCCTCTGTTAAAGTTTAAAATGATTGGCTCGGTTGGCCGCGACTAGGGCTGCCACAAACGATTATTTTTATAGTCGATTAATCACCGATTWTTTTTTTTCGAATAGTCGACTAATCGGATCATACGTTAATTGAAAATAAAACATACAGCTTATTGTGCCAGAATGCAGCTGCTATTATATAAACAACGTTAGATTTTAGCTATATGCTACCTAAAAATAATTGCTGTGGAAGGCAAGTTCTGCTCTGCAGATATTACACAGTTTTCTCTTTCATGTTCTTAAAATGATTCCACACTTTAGAGCTCTGTTGTCAGGTAGCCATGAAACCAGAGCCTGTCTGTATAATGTCTTGTGACGTCCACGGCCTACCCCAGTTACTGGGGATGCATGATATATCGATATGGATATCGTTATCGGCCGATATTGGTCTTTTCTTAGAATATTGGTATTGGTCTGATATGTAAAACTGAGCCGATATTAATGACCAATACTGATTTCCCACTTTATATCTTTGTGTTTCTGTTTTGGGAGGGGAGATGGTTGGTTGAGCAACATCTGTTTGACCATGACAGTGATATTGATGCTGTGTAGCCAGGAATAACTGAAGTAGAGCCATATCAGAGGTCTGGTCATTTATTTACGGTATCAAAAAAAAAGACCCAAAGTGTGTTTGTGCGTATTTGTATAATATAATTTGTGTGTTTGTGTAATATCGGTAAATATTGGTTATCGGCCATAACAGCAATAATTATATCAGATGTCGATATYGGCTGAATTTTTCATATTGGTGCATCCCTACCAGTTACCACTACTGTGCATGTGTGTCAAGGACAGAAAGGCAGATGCAGCAGTGGAAGGTGTCAAAGCAGTTTGGAGAGAAAAACAAAGTTAAAAACAAAACAAAACAAAAAAACGACTAATCGACTATTAAATCAGTCGTCGACTAATCGTGGCAGCCCTAGCCGCGACATATGCGTGCCAGCTCCACTGTGAAGGAGGCTAAGCTAAGAAGCTAACCGGAAATTGCGTGCGCTGTAAACAACCCTACTGAGAGGAGAGAAGTACAGAGCCGAATGAGACRACTGTAAATGAGAGCTGCTGCTTTGTCAGACAAGTTTAATTTTATTTGGAAGCCTTATCAACACAGACTGGCTTCATTCACTTCCTCCACTGCCATCGCTAAACTAACTAGCAGACACTGCGCAGAAAATCGACATTGTCCAAAACTCTGCCTTCTGTTCTCTGATTGGCCCGTACCAAATTCTCCTGATAAACCCTTGTCTATGGGAGAAATCCCAGACGGAGCAATGAATGGAAACTAGAATTGAGCGGAACTGCGTAGGAAGGCAAGGGCCAGGCTAGCGTCACACACACACGCAATGAGGATTCGTCTTTCATGCACTTGTATCTGCTGAGAGTGAATGTCAGGTGAATGCAGACTTGCTTACCTGGGACAGATTGGGAACAGGAATAAGTTGCTCCAGCTTGCAAACAAGGCCAGCAGTCAGGGCCTGCAGCGCCGTGTCAAATTTGGTGCCATATTGAATAGGGAACACTTCCTGCATAGAGAAAAAAAAACATATTTGAGCAAGTTATGACCATAAAACTGCAATCACTGCATTAAAAAAAGATTTCTAAAGTAAATCTTTTCCATGTCCACAAGCACTGCTTTGAAGGAAATCAAATTACAAGATGAGAAAAACAGAGTTCTGCAAACCTGAAAAAAGCGTTTTCTTTCACTAGGGTTTTTCAGCAGATTCTGGACAAGAACCAAGAAGTTTGTCTGGGATTTCTCCACTTGTATATCCTTCTATAAAGACAAAATACACGTTTGTTTTCACTCGTGCCTAAAGGTTCTAGATTTTATTCCACTGCAGACAAAAAGAAATGCAGTGCACTTTTCTCCAGAATAAACAAGCTGCATGCATACCATTGTCATGGGGATCTTCATCTTATTTATAAGAGCTTGAATAACCCTGGTGTCTGGTGGTCCGTCTTTGTGGAGAAGATCCAAGATTATCTGAAGTACAAGACAATAACAAAGTTAGAAATATCATCACGGAAAACAGAGCTTAAAAAACAACAACACAGTGTTAACTACAGTAATGTGTTTTCCCCCTTTGAGTTAAAAGCACAGTTTTAGTTCTTGATTAATTTTCACACTTAATCAAAGAAAACAAATTCACCCTTGCTCTCAGGCCTAAGATTAGCTGAGCAGTCTGCTTGAAATTCAAGAGCTCAGGGATGGTTTGYGTCACCATGGTCACAAACCCCTCCACTTTTGCGTAATTCTTCACTTTTCTCTGCCGCATGACCTGCCATATGTACGAATACGTAAGCTGCAGTGGGGAAGTCATTAAACGGAGTGAGGCCAAGGGAAGGGCATCTCCAGGACCTGAAAGACAGTTTGAAAACAAGCCAGTATAATTGATGTTATTTATACCCACTATGATAAACATGCTGTTTTATAATATTCTAGTTCCATCAGATTTTTTWWKTMRWMAAAAAAAAAACATAGCTACAAGGCAACTTAAGGTTTAATTACTAAAACACAGGAGAGTCTGAAGGCACAAATATGAATCCATAATCAGCATTTTTCCACATGTTCAGATTTTAGAAAATGTTTAATACTTCTGAAGAACGTTTAGAAATCTTCTTCCGGTGTTGCAACGAGCGGCCACAGGGGGCGCTGCGGTACAAACTCAGCTCTGAGTAGTTAGAAAAGTGCGCGTTTGTGTACGTGTGTGTGATGGAGATTGAGCGCYAAGTACATTAGGAGTTAGATTCAAACTTTAGAGATTATTTGGGTCTGTAGTACCACTGCTCATACGAGCTTACTAGGCGGATAACATGCTGAGAAGCGGACCGCAGTCATTTCAAGGACGATTTAATTTAAACATCTAGCAGAAGCTAAAGCATACATTTCATTGTAATAACAGTGCAGATGTGTATATACGTTAGCAGATGAAGGGAAGCAGCCTGCCTATTGCAGCAGATGGATGGCGCTGCGTTTTATTATTATTATTTTTTTTTTACCGCCAGCTGCAGTTAGCTTGCTGATGTTAGCTTAGCAACTTACCTGTTGTACTGGACCGTCGGTCCATTATTGCGCCCAAGCTGGGTGTCAGATCCAGCCAACGAACTGATTGTTCGAAACAAACTCTAAATGCTCTAATTTACACTAAAACGCTATATTTAAAAGTACTAAAACGCCTTATTTTGAGCGTCAAGCCACGAAGAATAATGGCGACCGCTGGGGAGTGGGTTTCCAAAACAAAAGTCGGACCACTTCCGGCGGATGTTCCTGTACAAAGTAAAAGCATCAAAAATTTCAACGTGTTTCAACAAATTCCCCGAAAAATATAATTCAGTAATTATTAGAGTCTTCCAATTACTTATTTTGGAAGATACGGCTCTTTGTAACATAAATCATTTTAAGTGTCAGATTCTGCATGATGAATAAAGGAGGGGAAAAACTGCAAATATGTTTCAATATGTAATATTACAATATTTAGATAGAATACTTTTCAAATAGTAATTGAAAATCGAGTCATCAAATCTTTATTCATGATTCATAAAATAAATTCCACAAGACTCCCAAATCTACATTATTTAAATAATGTCTTTGAGATACAATTATTATTTATTTTATGTCAATTGTCTACTCAAACATTTCCCTCATTTAGCTTTATGCATTCATAATATTAATCATTTGAAACATTGTGATTGTAGAAAAAAGTTTATTACTTTTTGAAAAAGATTCATCTTTTACTAGAATAACTTAAATACATCACAAACCCACATTTTTCACAAATTACAAACSTGAAAGTCAGACACTGAGCTCTATTCTAAATGTTTAACCCCATAAAAACATTTAATACTGATGTATCCATATTTTATTTGGCATGTTTGGGATCTAAATGATGAACTGTTACTGAAATACTAACTAGCCCCTGCAGAGCCATATAGCCTGCGGTCTGAAGAGATTCTTGGCCCACTGATTCATAGGGATCAGTCGACATTGGTCATGTTTGCAACTGGCATTTCCTCCACCCTACGGCCTACTCCTTTGTGACGAGAACAAGCCCTCCTTATGCATCACACTGAGCTCATCCGTTCATCTATCTGTCTGTATCTCCCTCACTTTTCCTCCTCGTGTCTGTCCTATCTCTTGCTCCCTCTCTCTGACACATGCAGCACAAGAGCGCTCACACTCGGGGAGTCATGTTCTCATGACTGAACGTGATTGACTCTGTGAATGAGGCACAAAAAAAAAACTCGAACACACTCGCAGTGGGCTTGAGGAGCAGCTATAGATCACTGGGCAATAGCTCCGAAACACAATGAGAGGATTCAAAGCGCCTCAGGCCGTGGCAGGCTGCCATCTGGTCAGATCTTTGATTCATAAAGCGGGACACTTGTTGAACTCCTCCGAGTGTTGTTTGTGACTATTAGGTTGATAATTTGTGACAGATCACAGATCACAACAATGTCAACAACCAGTACAAGAAAAGCTGTATTCATCACTTCGGTTGTTTTTCTGCAGATGTGAACTTCCTGCATGAACTCCTCGTGCATTTCAGTAGATGTCAGCCGGTTAGAAATCGGTGTTTTGACTGATTGTACAGCCGTCCCATTTTGAAACAACAAAGAAATCTCCAAAGGTGTGATTCAGATTCTTCACCGGCTGGCCCGAAAGGAGAACTCCTGCCTYGACCGGAGAGCCTGCAGAATTTTTGCGACACGCCTGCCGTTGCAGCAGACCCAGGTTTTCTCTCCTCCGGCAGCTCCGGTGCATCCACTCAGAGGAGTGCAAGCACAAAAAGTGACAGACCACACTCGTTTAATCTATGCCTCATCATGCTTCATCCACTTTCATGTTCTGAGATTGCCTCCCCCGCTGGCTGACTGTCAGCGGCGTGGGTGAGTGTTTGAAGTGGGATGGAGATAGACACAGTTGGGATCATGTCAGGAGTTGCCATTTGGCCGTTTAAAGTGTTGCACGCCATCAAACGGCCTCCGGACTTGACCTACAAAAAAAAAAAAAAGACAGGAACAAAAGAAGAAGAAAGTTCAAACCAACATCCTGAGCAAGACTCATCTGGGAATCTATCATACTAATTCAACTGGCAGATAATAGCTGATACTAGATTTACGACATTAACTGCCTGAAAGGATGTCTAAATATTTAATGAGCTGCTGTTAAATTTACAAGACTCGTTTTCTTGGAAGTGCTCGCTAAAATGAGGGCAGATTCTGGGAGGCTTTKTTAGACTAACCCACAAACCCAACAGACTCGTAAATGTGTGCGGAGGGAAGTTCTGCTCTAAGAATATTTCTTTTAGAGACGGTTGTGAATGATAAACCACTACTTGTGGTAGTGAATAGTGTAATATGCAAACTGTACAACGTACATCTACCCGTCACGTGGTCAGAAGACTTAGAATTGCAATATACAACTCATTATGGTACATTATGAACAATTAGCTTACCTGCCACACTATGAGAACAACGCAGGCTATAAAGGGGATCAGCACCAAAAGCAGGGGAGCTCTCTTTGACCAGCTTTGTCTGCGACCCTCCTCCTGACCCTCTGCGAGAAGAAAACAACCACGGTTCAACATCTTGGGTCGATCATTTGCTTCAGGTTTTAATACCCATGAAAACGTTTGTACCTGGCGTTAGCTGCTGATTGCGGCACGGTGGCGGCTTGCACGAGAGGCTGGATTTTCCTTGAGTGGCAGCCTGCAAGAGGTCTTGGATGTAGTCGAAGTAAAGACCGGACTGCAAGGTCTCTTCCTGATAGTGACAGCGGAAGACCTGCATCGCCGTTTCCTGAGGGGCATCGTCAAACAAACCCTGAAACACTTGTGTGCAAAACAAACAGAACTACGGTGCTTTGATCAGTTACGCCTTTTAAACCTGACGTTTTGCACAGTTTGCACTCAAACAGAAGAATGTTAAAGTCACTTACAAGTTCCCCGTGGTCAAAGGTGAAGCGCAGGCTCTTGAGCATCGCGATAAACACCATTATGTTATCTTTGTTGGAGGAGACGGTACCAAACATGTTGGCCAGCTTTCGAAGACTTTGCTCCAGTGGATAGATATTTAAAACCACCCAGCATGTGCCAGCCTGCGAGGCAAACAGAACAATGATGGAACAAACTGGTATTTGCCATTGGACCATTCCAACAACCTTTTTTTTATACATACCACTTCTTTGGGAATGTGGGTAACAGGAATCTCATAATCAGAGGGGATATTCTGCTTCTGCAGTGGGAATTATGACAAAAAAAGGAATTTTTGGAGCTCGGTCCTTTTTTAAGAATTTTTGTAAACATTTAAAATGGGGATTCATGCTGCGAAAAGCATTCTCACCAACACTGACAGCTTGTTCACATCGTCAGTTATCGGTGTTCCGAACTTTCCAGAGCAGAGACTTAAAGTGGAAAACAAACTTAGGAGGAAACAAGTTGTGTTGAAGATCTGGAGATAAAAGATACAGGTCACACGCATGTGCCTTTACTGTAATAAATACTTTGGATTGACATTAGTCCTGCTAAACCAATGTGACAACCAATAAATTACCTCCAGGTATCGGAGCAATCTGTCGRCACAGGAACACTGTCCACCTCCAGGCATGAGGTGAGCAGGGTTACATGCCTTACTGGCATTTTAGAGATGTTATCATGTATAGCAAGAAGAAATTCCAGTGGAAACTCATGTCAGTTGCAGCTGATTAATTATCCAGCAGACTGACAGAAAGCAAAGCTTACAAGAGTAAAACTGAAGCTTACATGCTTTGGTGGTTTTAAGCAAAAGTTGCCAAAACGATAGTTTGTGAATTTAATTTTTAGAAGGTAACAAGCAGGATCAAACAACAACAAAATAGTTGCTTCACATTTGGATTCACTTCATTGTGGCAATTCTTCACAACTCTCTTTTTGAAAGTGCAAAAGCAGCACTATATTCTCTAAATGCAGCTAAAACTGGAACATTCTTCATTATGGGCATTGCTACATTCTGACTCTTTAATGCACGCTATTCTGCAGGACATTTGTTTGACAAAAAAAATAAACAATAAAAATCAAAAAGTAGCAATTTGAAATTAAAAAGAAAAGAAGAAACCACTTACTTTTTTCCTCATATGGAGCAAGAGTCCAACGATTCTCACATCCACTTCATGAAATTGAGTATTTCTAGTTCAAAGGCAGGACTCATCTCTGGGAATGTTTGGATGCCGTGTGACGATCCAAATGTGCGGCGGTGAAACTTGAGGACGGGCCAGCAGTCTGCTTTCACTTCAGACAAACTGGTGGGGTCTTTTTGACGTGGTGGAGAGGCCGCCTACAAGCTGAGTCATTATGTCACACACTGACGCTGTCTGAGACTTTTCCATAAACTCCCACGTATCAATTTGGTCATCAGGAGAAGTGGGTGCTTGTTCTCTTGAGAGAATATTTCTTTTGGAATATGTCTGGCTCATTCCCCTAAGCCGTTGTTTATAAAAGTGAAAATTCTCCCATCAGGGTTTTATTGTTTTTGTTGTTTTATTTAATGGTTTTGCTTTTTTTTCCTCTCTTTTGCTTGTTGTTTCCTCATTGGTTTTATAATTGAGCTCAAATCTCCAGTTTCTGGATGTTTCAGGGTGTATATCGCTCAGGATTAGTTGCATAACCCTTCTCCTGATACTTGCTGATAAGTGAACTCATGTAAAAGCCATTATCCAAATTGATTTCCATCACCAAATCAATAGCAGTCACAAGGGACAGATTGGGGTAATGAAGGAAAAACAAATGATTTCAGAAACCAAACGGTTCATTTCCTGAGGAGTGGACACTTTGTCTCCTSTACCTCCACTCTGGGGCTTTTGTTTCCTCTCACAGCCCTAAAAGATGTTCATGCCAGGTTTATTATTTATTTCACGTTGGCAGCAAACATGGCTATCTCAGTTTTTCTTGGTAAGTCAGATGCTCATTGTGTCTCAGTGGTATGATGCAAAAGGCTAACGAAAGTGAATGAGCTGACGTTTTRTGCTTCTGATTCATAATTAATAACCATTTAGTTAATAGTTAATCACAAACTGCCCCAAATAAGATGCCTGTGAGCTAACATTGTCCAACCCAAATTTCAAAATTAGATTTAGCTTTTTGTGGAGAAAAGAGAGATTATGTAAAGCATTAATGTCTATATGTTTGTATTACAGCACGTGTCAAAKTGAAGGTCCGCAGGCCAAATGCGGCCCAGAGGACTTCCGACAGGCCCACCAAATAACCTCTCCACCCCCATCCAAAAAAAAAAAAAAAAAACTTAAACCCCTAACAGTCTTTTTGTTCCACTGGTGGATAAAAACAGTGCTGTTTCTGTCTTTAAACATTTCCAGACGC